GACTGGCACTAATTTTAAGGACTGGATTCAGACACCTGTAAGAGGATAATAATTTAGCTTAATGTTAACATGGCAGAGAAACAAATTTCTTTGGCAATCTGTTCTAATGATAAAGATATAGTCTTTATGAACTACTTATACTAAGTATACAAATTATCCATTCCAGAACATGAGGAGATTCTTTAAACATTAAATATAAACTAAAACTAAACTTGACCCATTCACGTCGGGTGTCACGTACATGTGACGGGCCCACTGTGAGTTTACTTGTTTAATTGTTTTCACACATAGATGGCTGCACTTGTACTTGTACTGCTTGTCTCACCTGTTTACCCTTTTCTTTAATTTACAAAAATATTATAGGTTACCTTATTTTGCTGTTACAAATGTTCATAATATTATAGTAATTATAATGTTTATAATAAAAATAACCATCGATATTCATAGTACTAGTAAAAAATACATTTTCCCACCAAATGAAATCAGGTAAGGCAGAGCCATCTAGTGTAGAGAAATTTCACAAAAAGTATAAAAAATGAGCACAGCATTTTCCCCAATTTTTGTTCATTTTTACCCGGCGCGAATGGGTTAACAAAAAATAATAATAATAATAATACTAACTTGAATAAAGAGGCATAAACAAGTGCCTTTGATAAATGAGGAGGAGTGGAGAAGTGCACAACCCGACGCCCAAGTGCTGTGAGTTTCTCTGTGGCTCCTCCATCAAGGACTTCCAACATTCCTAGGTCCTCAAGAGTGGAAACTGCCTTGGAAATAAGCCGTCGTGATGGAACACTCAATCCTTCTGAGAGAAAGCTTAGAGCACTTTCATCTCCACAATGTGCCTGGAATACAGTGAAATTGGGCCAAGTTATTTATGTAAATAAATAAATAAATGTAAAAATTCTAGGAGAGAGAAAATCTTATGCTCATCTCAGCTTATTATTGCATGTCCTGAAATATAAGGCACTTTATTTTTCAAGAAATTACTCTGCATCCTATACCATAATGCAAGGTACTTCAAGACAGGTAGCATCACTCTGCCCTGATTAAAATCTTAGTTGGTAACTATCAACCTTAGCCCTGCCACTTTGCATATTTCATAGCAAATATTAATAGGGTTTCTTTGTTTCTCTCTATTTAAATTTTTTGTTTGCCAATTTTTACCATTGTCATTGCTGAACCATTTTTAAAGAGAGTATTCTGAAAAATTACTCACCATAATATTTCACAGAGACTGACAGGAGTGAAAATGGGGCAGGACTAAAGGATGTCATTGCATTTAATGAATAAGGATGAAATACCAGATATAGCCAGGAAAATAACTGTGTTATTAGAAATTCCAAAAGCAAAACAAAACTTACTCTGTTATATTTATGTTAACAGAATGTTCCATACCATAAATAATCAGGAAATTCTAGGGATAAAACAATTTTCAGTTTTGGTTCAACAGGAAGCCTTACCTGTTTCTTTAACCCAATGCCGACGGGTATGATGTGTACGTAAGTGCCATGCCCACTGTGAGTTTACTTGTTTGATTGTTTTACACATAGATGGCTACACTTGTACTAAGTCACCAATGAGCCAATTACGAGTACTGCCTGTCTCAGCCATTTGCCCTTTTCTTTGATTTACAAAAATATTTTGCTGTTACAAATGTTTATAACATTATAGTAATTATAATGTTTATAATAAAAATTTAAACTATCGATATTCATAGCACTAGTAAAAAATACATTTTTCCTGCTAATTTCAAGCAGGTAAGGTCACAAGGTCTACTAATTGACTCCTTTGTGGCTAAGCGCTAGCAGAGCCATCTATCTACAGAGACATTTCACAAAAAATATAAAAAATGAACAAATAATTTTCCCATTTTTTATTCAATTTCCCCAGCGGCATTGGGTTAACTACCTTGCCCTAATGGTAGGTTAGGAGAGCCTTGGGGGGCAGAAATTACTACAGTAGACTTACACCTGAATCGTCAGATCATTACTTTGATGCTGTAGGTACAAGACAAAACATTCACAAGATAAAATACATTCTGAAAACTATATACTCTATCATAGATAGCAGCAGCAACCTAATTCCATCTAATTTACATACTCAATGTCACCCACTTCACTCATCTTACCTTACACTGGAGAATAACATGCTCAAGAGGGATCCTCATGATCTCAGGGACAGGAAAGTGGCCCATGTTCTTATGTACTTTCGAGGAGTAGAGGTGGAACACTTCTCCTGGCTGAACTCGTCCTGCCCTTCCAGCCCGCTGCTGGCTATTAGCACGTGAGATCCAGTGGTTGGCTAATATGCTTAAATCTTTCTTTGGGTCATATCTGAAAGGTGAGCAAGAAAAGACAAATAGAAAAGTAGATTTTAATTAGCTTATATATTTTTATTGAAGCTACAATATGTTTTATTCATATATATGATTGTTGTTATATACTGAAATTACATTTACAATACTAAATTATTCCTGGTAAACTAACCTTTGCTCTTTGTGGCAACCTGTGTCCACAACATATACAACATCTTGGACTGTCAGGCTGGTCTCAGCCAAGTTTGTAGCCAATACAACTTTGCGACGACCTTCTGGTGCTTCTTCAAAAATCTGCTCTTGGTCACTTGAGGACAACCTTGAATGAAGGGGCAGTACCCAGAGCTTACTTTCTAATTTCTTATCTTCTGTTAGTCGTGTCTGAACTGTCCGGATATCCTGCCATCCAGGTAAGAAGCACAAAATAGCACCAGGTGGCCTGGAGTTCTGTATAGATTTAATCACATCAACAACCAGGTCATAGTTGATAAAGGGTTGAGAACCTGGCTCCATCAGTGAATCCAGCTGGTAATGACTTGAGCTGATCTGAAGTTCATTTAATGCACATGGGAGATAGTGGCGAGTGAGAGGATACAGTGTTCCAGGAACTTCAATTACTGTTGCCTCTTCTGCCTCAAAATATTTCTGCAACTGTAAAGTGCTCAGCGAGGCACTCATAAAGATAATACGTAGATTATCTGAGCTCCTTAACAAGCGTCGCAGTATTATAAGAAGCAAATCTGTCTGTACTGAGCGTTCATGAACTTCATCCACTATCACATGTGACACTCCCTTAAGAGTTGGATTGGAGTGTAGACCTTGAAGAAGCATACCTGTTGTGCAGAACATGACACCTCCCTGTTCTTGAAGTCGCTGGTAGTGCAAGCGGACGTGAAATCCTACACTCTCACCTATCTGTAATTTCCAATGAACTAAGAATTCACTGTAAAATACACAGTGATGCAACATAATATCTTAATAACATGAACTAAAGGATATGACAATGAAGGATCCTTTATATTAAAGAATGATTCTCTGAAAATTTAAATTGTAAATTAACCCACTGTTATCAGGTACATGTTCTGTCCACTGTAGTTTTCTTTTGTAAATTTTGTTAGCACATAGATGGCTCCATAAATGCTGAGCCACCAGGGAGCCAGTTAGTAGGCCTCCATGACCTCAATTGATTTCCCTCTTCCTTTCAGGAAACATTTTTTCCTAATTCTATTAATAATGATGTAATTATTATTATTATTATGATATTTTGATTATTAAAAAGTTATGAACAATACCAATATCAATATATTTTTTTTTAATCCATAAATCAAAGAAAAGAGTAAGTAAGATAGGTAGGACTAGTAATCAACTCTTTGGTGATTAAGCACTGGAGGAGCCAACTATAAGTAAATACAATCAATAAACAAAAAAAACAGGAGACATGGAATATATTCTTGCCATCCTAGCATCAGTGGCTTAAATTTCTTTGTTCTTGCCTTTTCTCTTCTTTCCTTTGCAACACGTTTAGCAAGAGATATTGCAGATATGCGCCGTGGTTGAGTGACTAGGATATTGCAGTTAGCACCATTGCCCTTCCTAATCCAATCATCTATAATCATCTGTGGAACCTGAAAGAAGACAAACAGAAATTGTTAAATCTGTGTTTCAGCTCAGCGATATAGCTTTTATTCACAGCTACTTTTTAGAATATACT